ACTCGTATCTCGGGATAGAAGCAACCCAAAAATCCAAAACTTTCAAAATAAACTAGTCTCATTGACATCTTTCTCTGGGTAAAGTTTCAAGTTGAAATTCGAAAATTGATTTTCCAGATGAACCTGAGGGGAAACCACGGCTTTTTGCTAAAAAATGACTTGAGAATTAAATATCTCGACAGAAGTAAGCTATAAACACGAACTCTTTTCAGAATATTCATAGCTCATTAGAGCCTACATAATGCGCATAGTCTCGGTTCAAAAGCGATTTGGCAACTGGAAATTGCTCTTGATCCCCTTTTTCTGCCCACTGTGCCACGCCCACGCCCACACCCCAACCATACCCACACCCATTTTGAATAATTTTGCTATTCCTGTTAAATATCATAATCAGAAAAGTGCTTGGTTATTGTGTTTGTGACGTATTGACAATAACTCTTATTATTGTTATGTTTATTTTCATTTCTTTTTGTTAGTGTCTGTGTACTGATGAGTCATCATTAGTTTCATATACATATCGATACATATATATACGTGTGTTATTTTCCTTCATGTTGGGATTACTCTAGAGTCGTATACTCACAATATTTCGATTGTTATATTTCTTTTGTTTTTCTCTCTGTTCATTGATTTTGTCATATAAGTCATCACGATATGTAGAGGGTGTTGGATATGAGGGTTTGTTTTCGTTATGCACACCCACACTCTCTTATTGATGATTGTGTTGAATTGAAAAATCATCATCAGCAGAAGATGGTAAGTAATGTGAAAGAAACAAATGATTTAAAATTGATTCATTCATTTTCTTCAATTCTAAAGAGTTACTGCTACTGAGTAACCTATTTGATGGCACTAAACAAAATAAAACCATAAAGCAACAAACAAACAAACAAAAATTCAAAATGGTTGAAAGAAAGAAACGAAAAAAATGAAAAAAGGGTGTTAGTGTGGATGTTTATCAGTCACGCGTAGCCATACTCACACTCACAGTGGCACCCACACCCTAGATACAGAGAGATTTTCGTTCCTGCTGTATTTTGTCATTGTCGTTTCGTCAACAACAAGACTCTTGAAATAAAAGAAAGATCAAACGATCGACATAAGAGAATTACATATCATTCGCCAGCAGCATATACTGTCGAGAACTTTTCGTTGACAGGCATTAAGTCAACAAGTATTTCGTCAGCAACTCTTTTGTCAACAGTATAGTTTGTCAAATCCATTTTAACAACGCTTCTTTGTTGAAAGCGTTTTTGTTGACATGCTTCGTTGACAACTGAATTAATCGGAAATGTTTGTTTCACATTTATTATGAAATACTGCATTCTCACAATAAAACAACTCATGATCTAATTTTACCTTGAATTATTAAGCCCTTCACCTAAAAAAAAAGTTCATTTTCGCAAAAATGCCGAAATAGAAATAAATATATTAATAGGTGGCCCAAAATCTGATCTTTCAGAAAGACTATGATTATTTATTTGGTTAGTCTTTTTTTTTTAATTTTCGACGAATTTCGTCACCGTCTACTTGAACAATTTGCTTTTTCAAGAAAGAGCGGAATATAGTTTTCGCTTTTTTCTCACGGCATGACCTTTTGATAGCAGAACCCATATTTTTTGAAGGACCTTCATTGTATCTAATGCCTTTTTTTTCGTTTGAAAGAGTACACCAAGATATAGGACATGATAGCGCCCCTTTTTTGAAATAAGCTTTATTAATATTATGTAAAAGTGTGCCTTTATAATTAGAACGCTAGTTTTTGAGAGTTTTTCGGAACATTGAATTTTTCGTCCCTATTATCCCCATCACAAATGAAAATTTAAACAAGGACTCTGTCATGCTTCACATCTTGACATACTCTTTCAAACAAAAATAAATACTCACATAGAATGAAGGACAAAAGAGAATTTTGGATTGCCAAATAAGCTATATTTGATCACTGTTTCGTGAATATCTTTCGAAAACATTATGGCATAGTGCTAAAAATTTTCTCCTATAACCTTTCCATTACAATCCCAATAAATTCTGCAAATTCCATGCAGTTTCAATGTTAATGAGCCAAGATCGATTTTTGAGCGCAGCAGAGTCTTAAGCAAAAAGTTTCTCTTGCATATACACAGATGTGCATGGCTTCCAGTTTATGTTTCTCTACCAAAATCAAAACCTCACTTACAGTCAAATCAGTACTCCCTCCCACACACGCATATTTATACCCATACCTAGACTCATCGCCATATGATAGTAGGCCAGCGTTTTCAACATTAGTACTTCAAGCATCTTTTTGGACGAAATATCTGTCAACAAAATAACTTCGACGAAAGGTTGCCCATCAAAGTGACTATCGACAGTAATTTGTGAGTGGTGTGTAATTGTAAATAATCCATTCACCCCATCCACTCTCCCACCTCCATCCCCATCCGTACCCGTACCCAAGCCCACATCCCTCAATACTACAATTGTGCATTTTATTTATGGAGCATAAATTTTAGAATTTAAACTGACTGGCTTTGAAAAATTGCTCTGCGTACATCAATATAGATTCCTTCAAAAGGTTCGTTTTGACTTGTTTTTATTATTCTCCTCTTTCAGAGCTGAAAATTATGTGTGAAACGATGCGCATGTATTTTTTTACTTGATAACAGCTCAAATTTCTTTCGTGATACGAAAAAGAATACTTAACAATAATATTTGCTGACTTTATCTGTATGAAAAAAAATTTGAATGACATTCTCCACCTAAAAAAATCCAGTCATATAATTCGACGGATGCGAATGTATTAAATTATTTTTATCGTAGTGCAATTTATACACCACTCTGTATTTGAATAATCGCGAAAAAAGGCAGTAAAAATCGCCACTTTAGGTGATCCAGTAGCAACTTAATCTCACGATAATCGGACTTATAAATTGCGATAAAATCAGCCATTTTTTTTGTGATTTTGATAGCAAGGGCAGGTATACGGTACAAAAATAAAATCGTAAAAAATAGACATGTCTACCCTTTTATTTTCGTCAAAAGTTCAACGCGTTTTTAAAAGCCTTTTGCATTATTTGTTCAATTAGATTGTTAGAGTATAACAGTGTGGGTGTGGATGTTGATGTGAACAAATCTCCGTGTGATTGACATCCACACATAGTGGAGAGCTTTCGCATGATCAGGCGAACATATGACTTTTTCTCACAAAAACGTTTTTTATTTGCTTAGAAATGATCGTACATCATTCATAAAACACGGCTGAGAATTAAAAGCTTTTTAGCAAAACAACTTGTTTTTGAAAAATACTTTGAGTCTTATACGGTTCGACGCAGTATAAAGCGCCGACTTTGAATATCATCTTCGTTTTCTACCAAAGTCTAACACGAGTCTCTGAAACTGGATTTCTGACCAGAGACCTTGAGTGTTTGGGCATTCTGTAAAATAGCCTAGGAAAGGTTTCATGAGTTTTCGCTACTACCATAAAGAGGATACATATGTAGGAGCATTTGATAGAAATTTGAGCTCGATCTAGCATTATCACTTTGTAGCATTTACAATATACGAAACGGTATGTTTTCAGATAGATTTTGGGGCGCGAGATCCTTTGTTGTCTACTCTATTTTAAATTTCTATTTGGATCATTTTTTACATGAGGCCCGCCGATGAGAGAGCTTTTATGATATTGTTTGCTTGCGCAATATTGCTTCATCTTGCCGATCAGATTGACTTTCTCTATATATGTGACTTTATGAGCTTAAGTCTTGGTATACCCTTTTCTAAGGCTCTGTAAAACTTTGAGAAGTACGTTTTTAGAAGATGATAAATCACATATATGTGTGTTTATCCAAACGGTAAGATTATGAAAAAAATACTTTCGTATATGTCCGCCTGGCTCCCCACTTTGCCACATCCACAAAATTTCCAGGTGCTTCATATTCTTGAAGAAGCTATTGAGAAAAATGTCAAACAATATGACTGAAGGGTGATTTCATTATTATTATTAGTAGTAGTATCCCAAGCAGACAAACTCTTTCAAAAACGCGTTTAAACGCATGAAAAAGTGTTTTAAAAATAAAAAAAGTGGACGCTTTCGCTCACAATCGCGGTTCCCGACTGTGAGCGAAAAACACCCATTTTTTGCCGTTTGTGTGCGTTTACACGCGTTTTCAGCCAAAAAACGATTGTAGAAGCCTGTAAACGCATAAAAAAAGAACATAAAAACTAGTGATCTTTTTCATAGTCGTTAATCGCAATCATGATTACAATGACAGTTTACGATTATGAAAAAGACCACTAGTTTTTATGTTCTTTTTGTATGCGTTTAAACGCGTTTTTGAAAAACTTTGTCTGTTCGGGTAGTGAAAAGCATTGTTGCAGAAAATATTTTCAATGCACAGTAAGGCATGCTGATCTGTCTTTAGTCATAGGACAATGTTTTCAAAATCATCATGTTAAGTAGTGGCATATGTCTCTCGTTCCATAGCGTTTGCCATTCTCTTTCTTTCCTATAGTTGTATGCTATTCTGTTGTTATCGCGTTTGGACTATTTTGTTCGTTATCTTCGTTGAACTTATCCTTTTCTTTCTTTCGTGTAAACGGAATTTTTCATCTCGTGATTTTCTCTTTTGTTGTAACTATATATAGTTGTCTTTGATTTTCAGTAAAGAGGAGAAGGAGAGTGAGAGTTAGATCTAACACATCCCAACTTGCTACATGATTCGGTTCGATAAGTCAGTTTTATTTGTTTTGTACCCAGAAACATGTTGGTTACGTATTCTGTCGTTCACTGGTAAAGTAGACTTGAATAGAACAGAAAACTCTCATGAATGAATTTATACTCTGTCTGATAAAGTTTTGTCTCGTTTGAAGTCCATTTTTGATTCGTAGATTGTATATCATAATATATCTATTTTGATCATTTTAGTTCATTCTTTATTTAAATTCATATGATTCTGACTTTTTATCTTTCAGACTGGACGTCACTTTTCATATTTAAACGGAACAGTGGCCTACGAAACCACATGACTCAATTTAATTTATCATCACAAAAATTAACTGCCACTCAAAATCATGATGATTTTGCAGTATTTTGGCTTTCCTCGAGTGATGAAGTTCTTAGTGAATTGGCAGTTCAATTTGATCATTCTTGTCGAATGTATGATTCGTATGAAACTTGTGTCGATGCTATAGTAGAAACCCGAAGCGAAGGCAAAATATTTCTTGTTGTCATGAATGTTCAACTTGAGTCATATTTTAATGATTTTCCTCAAATTAGAAAAATTTATGTCTTATCAAAAGATTCTCAAAATGTAAAAAGTAACAAACAAAATTATTCAAAATTGGTAGATATTTTCTCGGAAAAATCTATACTAATGGAACGATTACATCAAGATATATTGTTGACATATAGAAATGATTTACCAGTAACTATCTCATGTTTATCTGAGTACAAAAACGAACAATCTCTCACAGGCATACGCGGTAATACGCTTATGTTTTTATGGGATCAATTTTTTAGTTACCATATTGTACATTCGTTACCTGTGGATATGACTCAATTAAAAATAGATATGATAGAACAATGTCGAATAGAATACGAAAATAATTCAATACAATTGGATAAAATAAAGCAATTTGAAATTAATTGCACATCGGATAATGCACTACAGTGGTATTCAGAAGATTCATTCGCCTATCGACTTTTAAATCGTGCATTTCGTACAAGAAACATTGATTTTATTTGTAAATTTCGATATTTTATTATTCTCTTATATACTCAATTAAGAAAATTATCACAAGAAGAACATAAAGAAAATTATCCCACTCTCTATCGAGGACAAAAAATGAATAAAACTGACCTGGAAAAATTTCAAAGCAATGTTGGACATCTTATTTCATGGAATTCGTTCTTGTCAACATCGCGTAATCGAAATGTCGCTGAAATGTTTAGCGGTGGAAGTGAAACTGACTTTGGAGTGATATTCGAAATTAATATGCAAAATGCCACGCATGATACATGGAAACCATTTGCTGATATTTCAGTATTTAGTTCGATATCGGATGAACAAGAAGTTCTATTCTTTATTGGTACAGTTTTTCTTGTTGAATCTGTTGAAGAACAACAAAATTCAGTATGGATTATTAAACTTACTTTAAATAAAGAAACAGATGGACAATTAAATCAAATAAGAAATATTTTTACACAACATCTGCACAAACTCAAAGATACTCATCAATCATTTATGAACACAGATGATTTTACTATGCTTAAACGATATTATCCTATGTTGACAGGAAAATTATTTTCATTAAATGACTTACCGTCAAGTATAATTAATCTACCACTTGGTTATCTATTGGGTCTTTTGGGCCATTATGATAAAGCAATTGAATTTTACAAAAGTCTTCTATTCGAAAAGAACTTTATTGATATTCACAAATTTATTATTATTCACGTAATGATTGGCTACAATTATTTTCATCTTTCACAATATTATAATGCCTTACTCTGTTATTTGGTTGCCTTGTCATTAATAAATCATAAGAATTTATTGATTGGCGAAATTTATCATCATATTGGTGATGTTTGGAGAGCAATGAATTATTTCAAACTTGCACAGTTTTGCTATGAGGAAACACTGGAAATTCTAGGTGATGAGATAGATAATCGTCGTTTAGCTTATATTTATCGAATAATGAGTGATTTACATAAGAAACAAGGTAATGAAAATGATGCTATTGTTTATGAACAAGAAGCAAATAATATAGATCCACAATATGGATCATCATCAACCAGCAATCATGAACAGTTACTAAAACATCAACATGAATTAGAGACTAGACATGATATAACACCACTTGAACGTGCTGGTTTATTATATAAAATTGGTTTATGTCTAATAAAAGAAGGTGATTATTCTGCGGCATTAGAAGTACTATTGCAAACAGAACAATTGTTTTTAGAACATCGACCAGAAACTGATTGTTTCGTTGATAAATTTGCCACATTGTACGAAAATCTTGCTTTAACTTATCTATTTTTAGACAATCATTTAAAAGCGTTAAGTATGTGGAGGAAGGCAATTGACATTCGTAGCACTATTCCTTGGAACTAATTTTTAGATCTTGTGATTTAATGAGAATTGTGTCAAAAATTGGTCACACAAGACAAAGAGGAGATGCTTTAACATGAAATGTGTGCCATCTTTCGAGTTGCAACTATTTCAATAGAACGAATACAAAAGGAAAATAATATCGAGGCTTTTCTCACTATAATAAAATACTTTTAGATTTTTCCTGTAAGACAATTTCTGCTTTTTAACCTGCATTCTAACGCATACTTTTATGTTTCTATTGTTTACTATTAGTTTATTATTATAAATATTCATTGATATTTATTTGTTTATTACATATAAATAAAAGTTGGATGTGCGTGTTTATTAGAGAAGATCCACACCCACAGTCGTTTATCGAAAGTAAAGTAGCGTGATTCACATCAAACAGAAAATTCTCAATGGTCAAGTTTTGCGTGCACGCTTTGTTTGAATGATATATTAAACAGTGAGTACAATTCATTTTCACACAACGAATTTGAAATCTTCCAATTGAGTTGCGGAGTTGATTTAATGGATGACTAAACATACTGGAATTAATTTCATTATCGGTCCAGAGTGAAAGACAAGTCAAATTGAGAAAATCCGCTTCGCATGTTTGGATTGGACCCATAGTTTGAGAATCAAGAACAAGCGAAATAACGTTAGTGAAATTAAATAAAGATGATATGAGACTTTTGTTTAGAGTTTTTTATAAACTTAAAAATGAAGATGAAAATATATAGAAAGCTCATTTTTCATTGCAAGCTTTAAACACAAACATGTGTCATCATCAGGTAATTATGAAAATTTTTACAAAATTTCGAGAATATCAATAATAATATCTTTTGGGTAGATCTTAAGATTATGATTAGTCAAAGAACTTCAAATGAAAAACTCGATAAATCATAAAACATTAATATATTTTAGAACTTTTGTAAAAATTATCATAATTGCCTGGTGACGACACATGTTTGCGTTGAAATATTGCAATAAGAAATGAACTTTTTAAGGAAAGGCGGTAAAATCATTGAACGTAGCCGAACTGGATTAAGACGCAAGGAAACAATTTGTTCAGGATCGATTTTTCGAAGAATCATTTTGATAAATGCATCAGAAATGTAAGAAATATATATGTAGCTTTGTTTTTTATATTTACGTAATAAAGAAAGAATGTTGTCGAAAAATGCTTTAACTGCATCGTTTAATGTAAGATATTGGACTATGCCGAGAATTATATCCAAGAAAAGACCAGTCGTGGTAATGAAGCCAAGTGACTAAAATGAAACTAATAAAATATTTTTCTTGTTTTTGTTTGAATTTCTAGTAAATTTATTAGTTTATATGATAACAGAAAAGCAAAGAAACGGTAATGACTCAATAAAAATTGTTCGCTATCATCACACTCTTCCTTATCGATGATCAGTTCTCCTAAGAATGTTTTACGAGTTGATTTTTCTCGAGTTCTTATCAATGTATCACCGTCGAACAATAATTTAAATTCATATTCAGATATTGATGACCAATCCTTTTCTCCAGCCGATCGTTGCATAATACCAGTAAGTATTGAACATTGTTTAGCAGATGGTGGGTGTGGGTGAAGAGAGAATCCTCGCAAGCACTGGCGTACCCGCATCCACACCCTTTCTAATTCTATCAAGATCACCCAAAATCCTCTTCGCCCTCTACTGCAGCAAATAGTGGCGCTATGTTGTGATAGCGCTGGTTGGGTTGAACTTCAAGATCCCAAACTTTTGATTGCATGCTCAAGTATGACCAAGTTAGTAGTCTTTGAAAACAAATTTTGAGCGAATTCTATCACACTGAAAAAAAATGGTGCCATATGGAACTTAAAAAAGGTTTCGAATTTTGCAACGAAATCGAAAACTTTTTTCAGTTTCATAAAAATATGGTTTCGTAGTCAACATCTTGTAGGCATTCTAATGCAATGCCATTGAGTCTATATCTATACCAATACAACGATCTAGATCGAAAAACAAGTCGCTGTAAGACCCGCTCGTATCCCCATAATCTATATATTTCCCCTTATTCTATACGTTCTCTCTAACTCTCGAAAGAAAAACGTATCCTCGGAAACCCTTAGAGGATGTTGACAAGTTACTGTCTGTAACACAACCTACAAGACAAAAATGTTTCTGTGTTCCCAATTAGGAAAATGTAACTTACCATCTCTATCAAATCGATATCAACCTAAAAATATAAAAACTAATATAGTCATGTTCTATTTTTTATATGCAACTTACCTTTCTATCAGCTCGATATGAACACGAATTAAAATACGAAATTAGCTATTTTCTAAACGTTCTCAGTCATGTGCCATGAGACTTTCAGGAGATATGCATCAAACAATGGTGAAAAATAGCTCGTTTCGTCTCCAACAATTGTGCCTGACTCTCCATTCTATATATTCAACTTTTTTGTGTGAAAGAGCATGTCAAAATACAGTGAATATCGAAAGACCCTTTTCAGTTTCCTTTTTTCTGACGAGGAATAAAATCGCAAATTCGATACTCCACAAAACTCTACAAATTTGGACTTTTCGGAAACAGAGCGAGCTACTCTTCACCTTTGTTTCGTTCATATCAGCT